AGGACAAGAATTAGTAGTTAAGGTTCCTCACTCAGTAACGGCTATTATGGAATATAGAGGACATCATTGGTTCACAAATAGCCGTATGTTAAAATATCAAACCTTATTATGTGAAAACCCTCGAATCAAGTTACAGGTTTGCAGTACATTAAATCCTGCTTCACTCCTGCCTATTGAAGGAGAATTGCTTCAACATAATTGTTTGGAAACTATGGATGAGATATATTCCAGTAGGCCTGACCTAAAAGATCAACCTTGGCCTAAGGCGGATGCCACTCTTTTTACAGATGGAAGCAGTTTTGTTGAAAATGGACAAAGGTATGCTGGATATGCTGTAGTAACTGCAACCACTGTATGGGAGGCAGAACCACTTCCTCTAAACACATCAGCTCAAAAGGCAGAACTGATAGCCCTAATTAGAGCTCTTGAATTGTCAGAAGGAAAAACAGTCAACATTTATACAGATTCAAAATATGCATTTACTACTCTGCATGCACATGGAGCTTTATATAAAGAAAAGGGACTGTTAAATTCTGCTGGGAAAGAAATACGACATAGTGAGACCATTCTGAGATTGCTAGATGCTGTCTGGATTCCTGCTAAAGTAGCAGTGATGCATTGTAAAGGACATCAATATGGCGAGGATCCTGTGACCTTTGGAAACTGGTATGCTGACACTACCGCAAAGGCCGCGGCCCGAAAGGGACGAGGACAAGAGCCGGTCATGGCCCCTTTGCAGGTAAGAGACTGGTTAAGGAAAGATGACTTGCTATATACTCCAGAAGAAGAACAATAGGCCCAGCGTGAGAAAGCTGTAAGGAAAGATGGATGGTTGGTGTTGCCTGACCAGAGGCTGTTTGTACCCAGACAGATAGCTTGGGAAATGATTAAGGAGGCACACCAAGAAACCCATATGGGAAAAACAGCTTTGGCCTCACTACTGGGATGACAACTTTACATAAATGGACTCACTGCCCTAACAGGAATAGCCTCAGCCAGATGTCATATTTGTGCTAAAAATAACCCCAGAACAGGACCAATGCCACCTCCAGGGGTTCAATATCAAGGAAATACACCTTTTGAATCTTTAGTAGTAGATTTCACTGAAATGCCAAAATGTGGGCCTCATAAGTATTTGCTTGTGTTTGTATGTACTCATTCTGGATGGCCTGAAGCATATCCAACTAGAACTGAAAAGGCAGCTGAAGTGTCAAAGGCACTTCTTAGAGACATTATCCCAAGATATGGGATTCCTTTGCACATTTGTTCAGATAATGGTCCTGCTTTTGTATCAGAAGTCTTACAGTCCTTGGTCCGACTATTGGGAACAAAATGGAAGTTACATTGTGCATATCGACCTCAGAGCTCAGGAAAAGTAGAAAGGATGAATCAAATTTTAAAAGGAAAATTATCAAAAATGTGCCAAGAGACTCACTTGCCATGGACTAGGTTACTGCCTATGGCCTTGCTACATATTAGGTGTACTCCTACTAAGTTTTTGGGCCTGTCCCCTTTTGAACTTATGTATGGAAGACCTCCCCTTGGATTGAGGCATCTTCAAGGAGATATCAATCAGTTGGGACAACAAGCATTAAAAAGGGATGTTCAAGCATTAGGGCTGGCCATAGCCCAACTTCAACAATACACTGAAGAACTAAGACCACCTTGGCCAGCTACTCCTTTACACTCTTTCCGCCCAGGGGATTCAGTGCTGATTAAGGACTGGAGAATAGAACCTTTAAGACCAAAATGGAAAGGGCCTTTTACTGTCTTGCTTTCAACTCCCACAGCTGTCAAAGTGGAAGGAATCAAAGCCTGGATCCATTACACCAGAATAAAAAAGGCACCACCTGAGTGGACTGCGACTCCTGAGCAAAAAGATCCCCTGAGACTTCATACCATCAAACTGACAGCGCCATGAGGACCAGAAAGAGGACTACGGCTCTGGTTTTGACCACATACCTGGAAGCTGGTCAAATAAATCAGACAGAAGATTGAGGAGCACTGTGGAAGTGCCTACGTGTATGGGACATTCTTCAATAATTGTGATAAATGATTTTGGTTGATTATATTGAAATCGTTGTTAAAATAAGAATTTGATATCCTGAGTTTGCGATGCTACTGTGGAACATTCGCTCGCAAAAGGGGGGAATGTGGTGGCCGTACGGGGAGAAATAAAATAATTATAATTTAAAATGAAAATAATGAGGAGAAAGGCTTACCTGTCCGTTCTTGAGGTAGAAAGTAGAGTCTTTGGTAGAAGGGAAAGTTAACAGATGACTCAGAAACCTTTCAGGCTGGCTCTATCTTATGTCAATATTTGAAGAGGCCAAGGCTGGAACTAAGCTAAATTCGGAAGGTCAAAGAGTGGTGCCAAGAACAAATGGATAACTATTGATCTAAAAAGAACAAACACCTGAAAGTATGATCTAAGAGCGCCATCTCCTGTCTGGTTGAAGTAGACAAATTGAATATACTTTTTATAATGATCAATTGGAAAACCTGATGTATTATGGATATATTGTGAATGTATTGTGAATATAATTAAGAAGAATTAATAAGGAAAATGCTTGTTTTGAATAAATTAAAGATACCTATATGAAGACATATGTATGAAGAGAAATATATGAAGTGATGATTCATTCTAAAGATTATGTAAGTCCTCTGGGAACTCAGTCAGCTGTTGGAAGGGAGAACAGTGGAAATTATAGTGTTCTGCCAACAAGTGTTCTTGGCTGCGATTCCTCGAGGACAAATTGATGTTGATTAAGATTATGAAAATGTCAAGATTCTTATGCGCATGTGTAACCCTGAGAATTATGCTATAAATGCTGGAGCAAATCTGCCTTCCAGTGTGTGTCAGATATTGTATTCTGAACACCCAATCAAGCTTGATTGAATAAAGAGCCTGGAATCGGTTGCTGTCTCCTTTCTCTTCCTTCCTGATTGCACTCATCTGATCTCGGGTGACGAATCTGCTGCGACAAAAGGACCAAGGCAGAGACATCTCCAGCTCATCCCCTGTTTGGGTATCAGCCAGCACGTCAACGACTTAAATCTAGAAATAGTTTTACAGAGACACTCGCTGGAACACCTCAGCAAGCGAGAGTCCAAAAGTGGCAGGCTCAAACCCAGAACCTCAATCCGTGGGTGATACCAGATGAGAGGGGATCAAAAAGGCCCAAAATCCCAGCTCCTTGCTCTGACTTCCTCTGCTGTTTCACTCCTCCAGGTCCGACGGCCTCTCGACTTGCCTCTGGACCGGCTGGCCTATCCCGCCATGTCTCCTCACCACAAGAAGCCTCTGCTCTCTCCCCGCCGGGACAAGACCGATCCCGATCCAGCGGAGCCTTTGCTTCTGGAAAAGCCGCCCGAGACCCTCTCCCCGGAGCCCCTCCTCACCCAGCGCTTCTCTCCTCCGGCCGCCCAGGCCTTCCCCATCTCTGCTGCTGACGCTGGGTTCCCAAAAATAAATGTAAGTCTTGTTTCGATTCCATTCCATTCCATTCCGTCCTCTGCCGCTGATCCACCTCTTTCATCTCCCGCCTTCAGGTCGACTTCCTCCCCTACGACGAGAGGCCTCTCCCCGCCATCCGGAAGCAGCAGCAGGAGGACGTGTTCGCCTACCCGGATCCTGAGACGGCCGAGGAGGACCCGGGGGACACTCCCCGGAGTGGCGTCGTGGGAGAGCCGGAGCCGTTGACGGAGAAAGCGCTGCGGGAGGCCAGCGCGGCCATTGAAGTGTTTGGGGAAGGGCTGGTGAGTTCCCTCTCGCCGTCGTTTGTTGTTGGCACGTGCCTTTGCGTCAAGTCTGCTTCTGGTTATGACATTTATTCCTAATATGTGTGTATGTGCTGGTTGGAGCTCAGCCTGTGATTGTGTTTCAGGATCAGGGTGCTTTGGATGTGGGGAGGGATGTCAATGAGTTTCAAGATGGCAATGGTTTGGTCAATGATATTGATGCAGAGAATGACATAGAGACCCCAGTCAGGGGCGGCTCGTCCATTACGCGAAGTAAGCGGTCGCAGTACACTTTTTTTGCTAGGGGCGTAGAGGCACCTCTGTAAATGCCCCTCGACTGCCACTTCAGGAGCGTCCCCTCAGCTCACAACAGCCCTAGCATGGTCCATCCTCCTCCAAATAGCACCTGGATGTATTGTCAGGGGCGGCTCGTCCATTACGCGAAGTAAGTGGTCGCAGAACACTTTTTTGCCAGGGGCGCAGAGGCGCCTCTGTAAATGCCCCTCGACTGCCACTTGAGGAGCGCCCCCCTGAGCTCACAACAGCCCTAGCATGGTCCATCCTCCTCCAAATAGCACCTGGATGTATTGTCAGGGGCGGCTCGTCCATTACGCGAAGTAAGCGGTCGCAGAACACTTTTTTTTGCCAGGGGCGCAGAGGCGCCTCTGTAAATGCCCCTCGACTGCCACTTGAGGAGCGCCCCTCAGCTCACAACAGCCCTAGCAGTCTGGGGGGAGCCTCGGCTTTCTTGCCTCGCTGCTGGGCGATCCTCTTCCAAAGGGCCCGGGCCCTTGAGCCGAGCCGAGCCCCTCTCGTTCCTGCTCCACCCGGCCACCGGGTACGCGCGCAGAGCCGGCGCTCAATCATTCTCCATGTTCGATCCCTTCCCCATGACCGGCTCCCTTTCCCGATCCCCCGGCGCTCCACCGTGCCTGGCCCGCTTTGGGTCCGGAGGCATGTCTGAAGACCCCAGGGTGCGCACCAAAAGTCACCTCTTCTTCTGACTTTCTCTTCAGCCATTGGGACCAAGAGAGAGAGAGAGAGAGAGCCCCTCCGGCTGGAGGTATCTCCCACCTCCGCTCCCTCCTTTGTTTTTGCCTACCTTCAGGAAAGGTGGGCATCTCCACCTCTCTCTCTCTCTCTCTCTCTCTTGGTCCCAATGGCTGAGGAGAAAGTCAGGAGAAGAGGTGACTTTTGGTGCACACGCTGGGGTCTTCAGGCACGCCTCCGGACCCAAAGCGGGCCAGGCAAGGGAGCAAGTGCAGCAAGTGTAGTTACTGGGATGTATAGTTCACCTACAATCAAAGAGCATTCTGAACTCCACCAATGATGGAATTGAACCAAATATGGCACACAGAACTCCCACGACAAACAGAAAATATATATCAATGATTGGTTGGGGGGGGGCACCAAAATACTGTTTGCTTACCGTTGAAAATTACCTAGGGCCGCCTTTGACCCCAGTTCAAAGTGTTGTTTCCCATGAGAATGTCCCTGAAGGGTGTGGGGATGATGGTGTGCTTCCTGAATTGCTACCAGAGAGTTCCCAGGATTTGGGGCTTGAAAACAGCTCGGCACCTGGCCCAGCTGCAGAAGTTAATGAGCAAATAGATTTGGTCAGTGATATTGATGCAGAGAATGACCAGGAGATCCCTGTTCAAAGTGTAGTTTCCCATGAGAATGGGAATGATGGCGTACTCCCTGAATTGCTACCACAGAGTTCCCAGGATTTGGGGCTTGAAAACATCTCGGCACCTGGCCCAGCTGCAGAAATTAATGAGCAAATAGATAGTCGGGAGAAGATTAATCAAAACAGACAGGCCAAACAGTGGCTTCGGTGTCCTGCCAGGCTCCGACAGAATAATAATCTATATAAATAAAAATGTAATGTTCATTTGTGATATTAACAGAACTTCAAAACCACTGGGGGAATTGCCATCAAATTTGGACATGAGACACTATCTCAAGCAAGCTATGTCCTCCACTCACAAAACTCCCCAAAAAAACACATCCCCTCCCTCCCTCCTCAGAGAGATGTCCAGCCGTAAGCCTCAGGGAGGGAGGGGGAGGGAAGGAGTGCACGTGCACGGCCAACAGCGAGTGCACGTGCACAGCAGGTTCCCACGGGAGGAGGCTCTCCGTTCAGGAGCTGGAGGAAAAGCCCTCATCCCCGCAGGCCTGCCTCTCTGCCTCCCCAAAGTTCATCTCTCCAGACCCGACTAATCTACCTCCAGTGGGATGGATTCGGGAGAAAGGAAACTCTGCGGAAGCAAAAGCAATCAACTGATGATACTGGAGGTAAGATGGAACTGTCTTCCTGGCCCCTCTCTTCACTCTTATCTCAGAGCAGTGGTTGGTCCTGGAGGGGGGCGGCTCAACGGATGATACTGGAGGCAAGATGGAACTGTCTTCCTGGCCCCTCTCTTCACTCTGATCTCAGAGCAGTGGTTGGTGCTGGAGGGGGGCGGCTCAACGGATGATACTGGAGGCAAGATGGAACTGTCTTCCTGGCTCCTCTCTTCATTCTGATCTCAGAGCAGCGGTTGGTGTTGGAAGGTGGGGCGGGCTCAACTGATGATACTGGAGGCAAGATGGAACTGCCTTCAGGCCCCTCTCTTCACTCTGATCTCAGATAGAAAACACTGGAGAGGTTTGGGGAAAACAGACCTTGGCATTTGGGTCTTGCTGGGATGTATAGTTCCGCAGCCATCGAAGAGCATTCTGAACTCCCAACAACAATTAAATTGGACCAAACTTAGAACACATACTGATATGCTTAGATTTTATGGGGGGGGACTGACCTTATGGGGGAGGCAGAGAGGCAGGCCTGCGGGGATGAGGGCTTTTCCTCCAGCTCCTGAACAGAGAGCCTCCTCCCGTTCACCCACACCAGAGAAATCGACCTCCACCTATGATGGACCTGGATCAACCTTGGGGAGCAAGAGCCAACCCATATGGGGAGCCTTCCCCTCGACCCCCGCCCCTTCCGAGCTCATCAGCGGGTGAGAGTCCAAGAAGGTCTCCAAAAAATTGTGTACCTTCTCCCTTGTGCGCTCTAGGCTCCTAAGGGCAGAGGAGGAGGAGGGAGGAGAAGGAGGAGCTGACCTGGAGTGCCTGGCTGTTTCGGTACAACTTAAAATCTACCAATAGATAAACATTAAAAGAGAATTAAATATCATTGGTATTAACCGAGGTGCCTTTCACGACCTCCAGCAAATGGCCCAACGACCCCCCTGGTGGTCGCGACCTCCAAGTTGAGAACCGCTGATCTAGAGCAACCACATCATTAGAAACATCATTATAAACATGAACCTCATTGTCATTCCCAACATCTGGAGTACCCTGAGCATTAGACACCATCACAGGCTGAACTCCAACAACCACTGAGAATTTGTCTTTTGTGAGTGTTGCACCGTCGGCGTTGGTTTCTCTCCCAATTTCCGGTCTGTTGACATCCCGCCGTGCCTTTGTTTGGGGTCAGGTTGCTGGGGCCTACTCCAAAACGTGGTCCTATCGTGAAGACTCTTTGCTGGCGATCTACAAAAAGATGACAGAAGTGTCTCCAAGCACGCCAAAGGAGGACCTGAAGAGCCTGCTCCGGGGTGCCATCTTTCTCATCGTGAGAGCCATCAAAGACATCGTCTCCTCGGTGAGTGAGGGTCCAACCCCGAGCGGAGCAGGAATCGCCTCTTTCCCCGCTGCAGACTCTATTTCGATGCTCCTTTGTTGCAGGTCTTCCAAGCTTCCTTGAAGCTCCTCAAAATGATCATCACCCAGTTCATCCCCAGGCATAAGCTTGGGAGGCAGGAGACCAGCCACTGCGTGGAGAGGACCTTCCCCAACCTGCTTTCCAGGACCGGAGACTCCTCCGCCCGCCTCCGCGTGGCCGCGGCCAACTTCATCCAGGTAGGTCAGCCTGGAGAGATAAATAGAGTAAAATAATAAGTGTAATAATAATAGAGTAAAATAATGTAAATATAATAATAATAAATAGAGTCGTCGTCGTTCATTCGTTCAGTCGTCTCCGACTCTTCGTGACCTCATGGACCAGCCCACGCCAGAGCTCCCTGTCGGCCGTTACCACCCCCAGCTCCCTCAAAGTCAGTCCAGTCGCTTCAAGGATGCCATCCATCCATCTTGTAAAATGATGTAATAATAATAATAGAGTAAAATAAATAATAATAATAATAATAATAATAATAATAAACAAAATAATAAATGTAATAGAGTAAAATAATGTAATAATAATAATAATAAATAGAGTAAAATAATAAATGTAATAATAGAGTAAAATAATGTAAATATAATAATAGAGTAAAATAATAAATAATAATAAGCAAAATAATAAATGTAATACTAATAATAAATAGATTAAAATAGTAAATGTAATAATAATAGAGTAAAATAATGTAAATATAATAATAATAATAATAAAAATAATAATAAATGTAATAATAATAGAGTAAAATAATAAATAATAATAATAAACAAAATAATAAATGTCAGAATAATAATAGAGTAAAGTAATCAATGTAATAGAGTAAAATAATGTAATAATAATAATAAATAGAGTAAAATAATAAATGTAATAATAAATAGAGTAATATAATAAATGTAATAATAATAGAGTAAAATAATGTAAATAATAATAGAGTAAAATAATAAATGTAATAATAATAATGACTAGAGTAAAATAATACATGTAATAATAATAGAGTAAAAATAATGATGATAATAATAGAGTAAAATAATAAATGTAATAATAATAATGACTAGAGTAGAATAATAGAAGTAATAATAATAAATAGATTAAAATAATAAATGTAATAATAGAGTAAAATAATACATATAATAATAGAATAAAATAATGCAAATATAATAATAGAGTAAAATAATTAATGTAATAATAACTAGAGTAAAATAATGTATGTAATAATAATAATAATAAATAGTGTAAAATAATACATGTTTATCATTATCCAATAATGATAAAGAAAGTAAAATAATAAATGTAATAACAACAATAATAATAGAGTAAAATAATACATGAAATAATAATAGTAAAATAATGTAAATATAATAATAATAATAACAATAACAACAACAACACTTTATTTATATTCCGCCCTTCTCACCCCAAAGGAGATTCAGCACAGATCGCAGTACACATAACATGGCAAGCATTCATTGCCAAAGCTGTTTTCGAACTGCCTAGGTCAACAATAAGCCGGGCTGACAGTTGGAAGCTTACGCCAACCCGGGGCTTCGAACTTGCAACCTCTCGGTTGATAGATCTCATAATTGGTGATTTTCCAGAGGGACAGCTTGCTGTTCAGTTGGAGCCATGTGTGTGTGATCTTTCTCTTCCAGGAGATGGCCCTCTGCAATGAAGTACGGCCCCTCCAGATTATCCCGGCCCACCTGGTGCAGCCCCTGAAGCCAAACGCTTCCACGCACCTCTCCATGAGCCAGGTGGAGCTGGTGGAGCGCCTACTCAGAGATCTCGGGACCGACAACACCGGCTTCACCGTCGACAGCGTCATGAGGGTAAGGGGCCCTGCGGGTCGCTCTCCTCCTGCCATCCTTGGCCCCAGGCTGGTAGGAATTGTGGGAGTTGAAGTCTAAAACACCTGGAGGGAGGGCCGAAGTTTGCCCATGCCCGTCAGCCAGAGCACAAGACGTAGAGCACAAGTTGGCCCAACTCCTTATCACAAATTCACAAATTTTGTATTTTGTCTTCACAAATTTTGTATTTTGTCCCCAACTCCTTATCTAATGTTGCAGTTTCTGGCTCCTCTAACTGACCTTGAAGCCCTGCACTTTGCAAGTCAGCATATTTCAAGAGGTTTGCAATATGGCCAGAAGCATTCTCTCCTGACTTTAGCCTGCATCTATAGCAGGCATCCTCAGAGGTTGTGAGGTCGCTTCACCCAACTACTTATCTAACATTGCAGTTTCTGGCTCCTCTGACTGACCTTGTAGTCCTGCACTTTGCAAGTCAGCATATTGCAAGGGGTGTGCAATATGGCCATGTTCCAGAAGCATTCTCTCCTGATGTTTCACCTGCATCTATAGCAGGCATCTTCAGAGGTTGTAAGGTCTCTTCGCCCAATTCCTTATCTAATGTTGCAGTTTCTGGCTCCTCTAACTGACCTTGAAGCCCTGCACTTTGCAAGTCAGCATATTGCAAGGGGTGTGCAATATGGCCATGTTCCAGAAGCATTCCCTGCTGAAGTTTCGCCCGCATCTGTGGCAGGCATCCTCAGAGGTTGTGAGGTCTCTTCGCCCAACTCCTTATCTAATGTTGCAGTTTCTGGTTCCTCTGACCGACCTTGAAGCCCTGCACTTTGGAAGTCAGCATATTGCAAGGGGGTGCAATATGGCCATGTTCCAGAAGCATTCTCTCCCAACTCCTTATCTAATGTTGCAGTTTCTGGCTCCTCTGACCGACCTTGAAGCCGTGCACTTTGCAAGTCAGCATATTGCAAGGGGAGTGCAGTATGGCCATGTTCCAGAAGCATTCTCTCCTCATGGCAAGCATCCTCAGAGGTTGTGAGGTCTCTTTGCCCAACTCCTTATCTAATGTTGCAGTTTCTGGCTCCTCTGACCAGCCTTGCAGCCCTGCACTTTGCAAGTCAGCATATTGCAAGGGGGGTGCAATATGGCCGTGTTCCAGAAGCATTCGCTCATGATGGCAGGCATCCTCAGAGGTTGTGAGATCGCTTCGCCCAACTACTTATCTAACATTGCAGTTTCTGGCTCCTCTGACTGACCTTGTAGTCCTGCACTTTGCAAGTCAGCATATTGCAAGGGGTGTGCAATATGGCCATGTTCCAGAAGCATTCTCTCCTGATGTTTCACCTGCATCTATAGCAGGCATCCTCAGAGGTTGTAAGGTCTCTTCGCCCAATTCCTTATCTAATGTTGCAGTTTCTAGCTCCTCTGACTGACCTTGAAGCCCTGCACTCTGCAAGTCAGCATATTGCAAGTGGGTTGCAATATGGCCATGTTCCAGAAGCATTCCCTCCTGAGGTTTCGCCCGCATCTGTGGCAGGCATCCTCAGAGGTTGTGAGGTCTCTTTGCCCAACTCCTTATCTAATGTTGCAGTTTCTGGCTCCTCTGACCGACCTTGAAGCCCTGCACTTCGCAAGTCAGCATATTGCAAGGGGTGTGCTATATGGCCGTGTTCCAGAAGCATTCTCTCCTGATGGCAGGCATCCTCAGAGGTTGCGATGTCTCTTCGCCCAACTCCTTATCTAATGTTGCAGTTTCTGGCTCCTCTGACCGACCTTGAAGCCCTGCACTTTGCAAGGGGTGTGCAATATGGCCATGTTCCAGAAGCATTCTCCCCTGACGGTTCACCTCCATCTGTAGCAGACATCCTCAGAGGTTGTGAGGTCTCTTTGGCCAACTCCTTAACTAATGTTGCAATTTCTGGCTCCTCTGACTGACCTTGTAGTCCTCCACTTTGCAAGTCAGCATATTGCAAGGGGGGTGCAATATGGCCATGTTCCAAAAGCATTATCTCCTGATGGTTCGCCTGCATCTGTGGCAGGCATCCTCAGAGGTTGTGAGGTCTCTTCACCCAACTCCTTATCTAATGTGGCGGTTTCTTGCTCCTCTAACCGACTTTGAAACCCTGCACTTGCAAGTCAGCATATTGCAAGGGGGGTGCAATATGGTCATGTTCCAGAAGCATTCTCTCCCAACTCCTTATCTAATGTTGCAGTTTCTGGCTCCTCTGACCGACCTTGAAGCCCTGCACTTCGCAAGTCAGCATATTGCAAGGGGTGTGAAATATGGCCCTGTTCCAGAAGTATTCTCTCCTGAGGTTTCGCCTGCATCTATGGCAGGCATCCTCAGAGGTTGTGAGGTCTCTTTGGCCAACTCCTTATCTAACGTTGCAGTTTCTGGCTCCTCTCACATTGAAATCCTTTGCCTTTGCTCTCAGTTTGCCACAGGCGCTCTGGAGCACCGGGTCTATGAGGTCCGGGAGACGGCCCTCCAGATCATCTTGGACCTCTACCGCCAGCACCGGTTGGCCGTCCTGGATTACCTCCCGCCCGACGACGCCAACACACGGAAGAACGTCCTCTACAAGACACTTTTCGACGGGTTCGCTAAAATCGACGGCAGGCTCACGGAATCCGAAATGAGGGTCAGAATCCCAGCATTTCCATTTAATCATTCCTTCTCTTGGCTCGTTCCCTCTATGTCTGTAAGTCGGGGACTACCTACATATATCTATATAGATATATAGATATATGTAGGTAGTCCCCGACTTACAGACATCCAACTTACCAACGCCTGGTTTTTAAGGCTTATATAATAATATAAGGCTTATATATTAATATGTTATAGTGTTAATATATTACTGATGTGCTGTGCAAATAATATAATATATTGTGTACACATATAATATTGATAATAATAATATATTGATAATAATATTGATAATAATATAATTGTTATAATATAATAACAATATATATTGTGTACACATATAATATTGATAATAATAATATATTGATAATAATAATATAATTGTTATAATATAATAACAATATAATATATTGTTTACCCATATAATATTGGTAATCGTATTATAATGTAATACAATATAATACTAATAATAAACACAACATAAGAATTATATATTTCTTTTCACATTTACCAATACTAAAAATATTACAGTATAGTGTAATATAGTATATACTACTAATATTGTGCTATGCTAATAATAATAATATATTGTATACACATATAATATTGATAATATTATAATAATATAATAATGTAATATATTGTATACACATATAATATTGATAATATAATATATCATTGTACACATATAATATAGTGGTATAGTTCAATGTAGTATATAATATTAATATTGTGCTGTGCTAATAATAGTAATATATTGTATACACATATAATATTGATAATATAATATATCATTGTACACATATAATATAGTGGTATAGTTCAATGTAGTACATAAAATTAATATTGTGCTGTGCTAATAATAGTAATATATTGTATACACATTTAATATTGATAATATTATAATAATATAGTAATATAATATATTGTATACACATAATATAGTGGTATAGTTCAATGTAGTATATAATATTAATATTGTGCTGTGCAATAATAATATATTGTATACACATATAATATTGATAATATTATTATAATATAATAATATAATATATTGTATACACATAATATAGTGTTAATAATAATATAATTAGTATAATAAACCACACTGAGTCGCCTACGGGCTGAGAGAGTGCGGTATACAAATACAGTAAATAAATAAATAAATATAATATAATAATAATATATATTGTAATTTATTATAATGTAACACAAAATATAAAATTAATAATAGTAATATATTGTATACACATATAATATTGATAATATTATTATAATATAATAATATAATATATTGTATACACATATAATAGTGTTAATAATAATATAATAACTAAATATAATAATAATATAATATATTGTAATTTATTATAATGTAATACAATATAAAACTAATAATAATTCAATATAATAATTATATATTTTATATTACATGTAATATTACTAATAATATTACAGTATGCTGGTATAGTACAATATACTAATATTGTGCTCTTCTAATATAATAGATTGTATTCACATATAATATTGATAATACTATTATGATTATAATATAATACAATATAAAACTATTAATAATACAATAATTATATATTTTATGTTACATGTAATATTACTATTAATATTACATTATAGTAATATATAAAACGAATATTGTGCTGTGCTAATAATACATTGTAAACACATATAATATTGATAATACTATTATAATTATTATAATATAATACAATATAAAACTAATAATACAATTTAATAATTATATATTTTATATTACATGTAATATTACCAAAAATATTACAGTATAGTGGTATAGTGTCATATAGTAATATATAATATTAATATTGTTCTGATTGTAATACACATAGATTGTATACAGATATAACATTGATAATAATATTATAATTATTATAATATAATAATAATATAATAGATTGTATACAGATATAACATTGATAATATTATAATTATAATATAATACAATATAAAACTAATAATAATACAATATTAGAATTATATATTTTATTTTGCATGTAATATTACTAATAATATTACAGTATGATGGTCTAGTACAATATACTAATATATAATACTAATATTGTGCTATGCTAATAATATAATAGATTTTAAACACATACAATATTGATAATAATATTATAAATATTATAATATAATACAATATAAAACTAATAATAATTCAATATAATAATTATATATTTTATGTTACATGTAATATTACTAATAATATTACAGTATATTGATATAGTACAATATAATAATATATAATATTTATATTGTGCTGCGCTAATAAGACAATAGATTGTAAACACATACAATGTTGGTAATAATATTATAATTGTTATAATATAATACAAGAATGGCCATCAGACTGGAAAAAATCAACTTATATCCCCATACCAAAAAAGGGAAATGCGAAAGACTGCTCAAACTTCCGTACAGTGGCCCTTATTTTTCATGCCAGTAAGGTAATGCTCAAGATCCTGCAAGGAAGACTCCAGCAATACATGGAGCGAGAGTTGCCAGATGTTCAAGCTGGGTTTAGAAAAGGCAGAGGAACGAGAGACCAGATTGCCAATATCCGCTGGATAATGGAGAAAGGCAGGGAGTTTCAGAAAAACATCTACTTCTGCTTCATCGACTATTCTAAAGCCTTTGACTGTGTGGATCATAATAAATTGTGGCACGTTCTTGGTGGGATGGGCATCCCAAGCCCCCTTCCCTCTCTCCTGAGGAATCTGTACAAGGACCAAGGAGCAACAGTCAGAACTGACCACGGAACAACAGACTGGTTCAAGATTGGGAAAGGCGTACGGCAAGGCTGCATCCTCTCACCCAACCTTTTTAACTTGTATGCAGAACACATCATGCGAGGATGTGCGGGGCTGGATGAATGCAAAGCTGGGGTGAAAATTGCTGGAAGAAACATTAACAACCTCAGATATGCAGATGACACCACTCTGATGGCCGAAAGCGAGGAGGAGCTGAGGAGCCTTCTAATCAAGGTGAAAGAAGAAAGCGCAAAAGCCGGGTTGCAGCTAAACGTCAAAAAAACCAAGATTATGTCAACAAGAATGATTGACAACTGGGAAATAGAGGGAGAAAATGTGGAGGCCGTGACAGACTTTGTATTTCTAGGGGCAAAGATTACTGCAGATGCAGACTGTGGCCAGGAAATCAGAAGACGCTTACTTCTTGGGAGGAGAGCAATGTCCAGTCTCGATAAAATAGTAAAGAGTAGAGACATCAGACTGGCAACAAAGATCCGCCTAGTCAAAGCCATGGTATTCCCTGTAGTAACCTATGGATGTGAGAGCTGGACCTTAGGAAGGCTGAGCGAAGGAAGAGAGATGCTTTTGAGCTGTGGTGTTGGAGGAAAGTTCTGAGAGTGCCTTGGACTGCGAGAAGATCCAACCAGTCCATCCTCCAGGAAATAAAGCCCGACTGCTCACTGGAGGGAAAGATACTAGAGACAAAGTTCAAGTACTTTGGCCACATCATGAGGAGACAGGAAAGCCTAGAGAAGACAATTATGCTGGGGAAAGTGGAAGGCAAAAGGAAGAGGGGCCGACCAAGGGCAAGATGGATGGATGGCATCCTGAAGGGACTGGACTGACCTTGAAGGAGCTGGGGGTGGTGACGGCCGACAGGGAGCTCTGGCGTGGGCTGGTCCATGAGGTCACGAAGAGTCGGAGACGACTGAACGAATGAACAACAACAAACAACAATACAATATAAAATTAATAATAATACAGTGTAATAATTATATATTTTATTTTACATATAATATTACCAATAATATTACAGTATAGTGGTATAGTGTAATATCGTAATATATAATATTGTTCTGATTGTAATACACATAGATTGAATACACATACAACATTGATAATAATATAATTATTATATAATAATAATAATATAATTGATTGGATACGTATATAATATTGATAATAATATAATTATTATAATATAATACAATAGAAAACTAATAATATTACAGTATTACAGTATATAATGCTAATATTATGATTGTATACACATACAATATTGATAATATTACAATTATTATAATATAATATAATAATTATATATTTTATATTACATGTAATATTAAAAATAATATTACAGTATAGTGGTATAGTGCAATATAGTAATATATAATATTAATATTGTGCTGTGCTAACAATATAATATATTGTATACACATATAATATTGATAATAGAATAGATTGTATGCGCATATAATACTGATAATAATATTTTAATTGTTATAATAATAATTGGACAATGCTTGAGAATAAGGAGACGCTGATGATGTTGCTTTTATTGTTTTTGTGATGTTCTTATACTGTTTAATGTTTTTATCTATTACGTTTTATGTATTTGTTGGAAACCGCTTTGAGTCGCCAGTTGGCTGAGAAAGGCGGTATACAAATACAGTAAATAAATAATATAAATAATATAAAACGAATAATTATACAATATTAGAATTATATATTTTACTTTATATATTTTTGCGTATGTGGGTGTGTCTCTCCTTGGACAGACCCAGAAGAAGATAGCCGCCGAAGAAGCCGAGAAGCAAAAGAAGGACGAAATCAAAGTTTTGCAAGGTCAGCTGGCGGCCCTGAAGGAGATGCAGACGGAAGCTCAAGCGGCAAAGGTGGGTCTGTTATTATTCTAATATCTATAATAATATCGCCTCTGGTGTTGCCGCAAGGAGGTCCTCCATCGTGCATGTAGCAGGGCTCAGGTTGCATTGCAGCAGGTGGTCAGTGGTTTGCTCTTCTCCACACTCGCATGTCGTGGATTCCACTTTGTAGCCCCATTTCTGAAGGTTGGCTCTGCATCTCGTGGTGCCAGAGCGCAGTCTGTTCAGCGCCTTCCAAGTCTCCCAGTCTTCTGTGTGCCCAGGGGGGAGTCTCTCATTTGGTATCAGCCATTGAGGTTCTGGGTTTGAGCCTGCCACTTTTGGACTCTCGCTTGCTGAGGTGTTCCAGCGAGTGTCTCTGTAGATCTAAGAAAACTATGTCTTGATTTAAGTCATTGACGTGCTGGCTGATACCCAAACAGGGGATGAGCTGGAGATGTCTCTGCCTTGGTCCTTTCACTATTGGCTGCTACTTCCCGGCGGATGTCAGGTGGTGCAATACCGGCTAAGCAGTGTAATTTCTCCAGTGGTGTAGGGCGCAGACACCCCGTGATAATGCGGCATGTCTCATTAAGAGCCGCACCCCCTGTTTTAGCGTGGTGAGATGTGTTCCACACTGGGCATGCAGACTAAGCAGCAAGGGCAGATGTCTTCACTGTGTCTGGTTGTGATCCCCAGGTTGTGCCAGTCAGCTTTCGTATGATGTTGTTTCTAGCGCCCACTTTTTGCTTGATGTTCAGGCAGTGCTTCTTGTAGGTCAGAGCACGGTCCAGAGTGACTCCCAGGTATCTGGGTGCGCTGCAATGCTCCAGTGGGATTCCTTCCCAGGTAATAATCCTCAGAGCTCAGGATGCTTCTCTGTTCTTGAGACGAAAAGCACATGTCTGTGTTTTAGATGGGTTGGGGATCAACTGGTTTTCCCTGTAATAGCCAGTAAGAGCACCTAGAGCTTCGGAGAGCTTCTGTCCTACCATCTCAAAGCTCCCTGCTTGAGCGGTGATGGCACGATCATCAGCATAGATGAAACTCTCTGTCCCTTCTGGCAGTGGCTGGTCATTTGTGTAGATGTTGAACATGGATGGAGCAAGCACGCTCCCCTGAGGCAGGCCCTTCTTCTGTTTCTGCCATCTGCTTCTCTGGCCCTGGAACTCAACAAAGAAGCTCCTGTTTGGTAGCAGGTTTCCTATGAGACTGGTGAGGTGGTCGTCCTTTGTGATACTATACATTTTCCTCAGGAGGAGGCGGTGGTGGCTCACAGTCTCATAGGCTGCTGACAGGTCTATGAAGACCGCTCCTGTGATCTGCTGCCTTTGAAAGCCATCTTCTATGTGTTGAGTCAGGCTCAGCACTTGCGATGTTTTTATAGTCAGTCCAATGCCTACTTAGGCAGGTCTTTGGCCGGTTTTAATTGCCTGGTGGCGCGATGGGTCAGAGGTTTGAATCCGGGGAGAGTGCGGATGAGCTCCCTCTGTCAGCTCCAGCTCCCCAGGCGGGGACATGAGAGAAGCCTCCCACGAGGATGGTCAAACATCAAAACATCCTTGCCGACGTTGTTTTTGTTATTCTTTTGTTTTAGTTTTCTTCCCCAATTTTTTTTTGTTTTTGTTTGGTTTTTTTGTTGTTTTTAGGTGTTTTTTTAATGCAATACAATTATTTGGTTCGCTCCTGACATGACAAATATAGTGTTCATAATAATATAATGTAATATAATATAAAACTAATAATAATTCAATATAATAATTATATATTGTTATTTTTTGTTTTTTTCCCATTTTTTTGTTTTAGTTTTTTTTTTTAGGCTTTTTTTTAACGCAATACCATTGTTTGGTTCGCTCCTGACACGATAGATATAGTGTTGATAATAATATAATGTAATATAATATAAAACTAATAATAATTCAATATAATAATTATATATTGTTATTTTTTGGTTTTGTTTTTTTTGTTGCTGTTTTTTAGGTGTTTTTTTTAATTTCAATACAATTGTTTGGTTCGCTCCTGACACGATAGATATAGTGTTGATAATAATATAACGTAATACAATACAAAACTAATAATAATTCAATATAAAAATTATATATTGTATTTTTTGTTTTTTTCCCATTTTTTTGTTTTTGTTTGGGTTTTTTTAAGGGTTTTTTTTAACGCAATACAATTGTTTGGTTCGCTCCTGACACAATAGATATAGTGTTGATAATAATATAATGTAATATAATATAAAACTAATAATAATTCAATATAATAATTATATATTTTTATTTTTTTGTTTTTGCTTGTTTTTTTGTTGTTTTTTAGGTTTTCTTTGTTAACGCAATACAATTGTTTGGTTCGCTCCTGACACGATAGATATAGTGTTCATAATAATATAATGTAATATAATACAAAACTAATAATAATTCAATGTAATAATTATATATTGTTATTTTTTGTTTTTTTCCCATTTTTTTGTTTTTGTTTGTTTTTTTGTTTTTTTTAGGTTTTTATTTTTTTAATGCAATACAATTGTTTGGTTCGCTCCTCACACGATAAATATAGTGTCGATAATAATATAACGTAATACAATATAAAACTAATAGTAATTCAATATAATAATTATATATTGTTATTTTTTGGTTTTTTTCCCCATTTTTTTGTTGTTTTTTGGGGTTTTCTTTAATGCAATACAATTATTTGGTTCGCTCCTGACACGATAAATATAGTGTTGATAATAATATAACGCAATACAATATAAAACTAATAATAATTCAATATAATAATTATATATTGCTATTTTTTGTTTTTTTCCCATTTTTTTGTTTTTGTTTGGGTTTTTTTAAATTTTTTTTTAACGCAATACAATTGTTTGGTTTGCTCCTGACACGACAAATATAGTGTTGATAATAATATAATGTAATATAATATAAAACTAGTAATAATTCAATATAATAATTATATATTGTTATTTTTTGTTTTTGTTTTTTTCCCCATTTTTTTGGTTTGTTTTTTTGTTTTTTTTAGGTTTTTTTTAATGCAATACAATACAATAACGACGTCTTAACTGCTTATTCAAGATCATTACGTAATTAAACCTAATACTTCGACTTTTCCTTTTCTTTTAGGAGAAAGAGACGGATTTTCAGAAAACAAAGCATCAAGGTGGGAATTTTAATTCGTGTGTGTGTGTTGGGAGCGACTTGAGAAACAGCAAGTCACTTCCGGTGTGAGAGGATTGGCCGTCTGCAAGGATGTTTTGATGTTTCGCCATCCTTGTGGGAGGCTTTTCTCACGTTTCCGCATGGGGAGCTAGAGCTGACAGAGGGAGCTCATCTGCGCACGCCCCAGATTCGAACCTCCAACCTGTCAGTCTTCAGCCACCGGGAGCTCCGGCCCAGATGTTTTGATGTTTCCCCATCCTTGTGGGAGGCTTTTCTCACATCCCCGCATGAGGAGCTAGAGCTGACAGAGGGAGCTCATCTGCACACGCCCCAGATTCGAACCTCCAACCTGTCAGTCTTCAGCCACCGGGAGCTCCAGCCCGGATGTTTTGATGTTTCGCCATCCTTGTGGGAGGCTTTTCTCACATCCCCGCATGAGGAGCTAGAGCTGACAGAGGGAGCTCATCTGCACACGCCCCAGATTCGAACCTCCAACCTGTCAGTCTTCAGCCACCGGGAGCTCCAGCCCGGATGTTTTGATGTTTCGCCATCCTTGTGGGAGGCTTCTCTCACGTCCCCGCATGGGGAGCTAGAGCTGACAGAGGGAGCTCATCTGCGCACGCCCCAGATTCGAACCTCCAACCTGTCAGTCTTCAGCCACCGGGAGCTCCAGCCCGGATGTTTTGATGTTTCGCCATCCTTGTGGGAGGCTTTTCTCACGTTTCCGCATGGGGAGCTAGAGCTGACAGAGGGAGCTCATCCACGCTTGCCCCGTATTCAAACCTCCAACCTGTCAGTCTTCAGCCACCGGGGGCTCTGGTATCTTTCATAATGGACGTATTATTATTATTATTATTATTATTATTATTATTATTATTATTATGGCAACAAACCCCAGCCTAACCCCAATCATCCCACGGAGGGAGAATACATAGCCTTTTAGATAGACACTAGGCTTGGGCGATCAAGAAAAAAATTGAAAAAATCTAAACTCGTTTCGTTTCTAGGGTGCGCTAGCGTTTCGAAATTCTGAGGACTTCCAAAATTTAAGATTTCAAAATTTCGAAATTTCGTAAATTACGAATTGATTCGTTAATGGCGGATGCGATTGCGCGATATGCTAAAAAAACCTCCAAAAACAAAAAACAACTATATTATATTATATTATATTATATATTGTTGTATATTATATTATAATATTATTATTTTATATTATTGTATATTATATTATTATAATATTATTATATTATATATTATTATAATATAATATATATATATAATATAATAATTTATTATTTTATATATATTATATTATATTATATTATTATAATATTATATATAATATATATTATATTATATTATAATTTATTATTTTATATATATTATATTGTATTATATTATTGTAAAATTATATATTATATATATTATATTATATTATTATAATATTATATATTATATATATTATATTATATTATAATTTATTATTTTATATATATTATATTATATTATTATAATATTATATTATATTATATTATACAATTATAATATAATATAATAATATAGTAATATAATATATAATAATATAATATAATATACAATACAATGCACCAGACATACGAAAATAATTACGAAATAATTACGAAAATTGGAAAAAATTGTTTCGATTCTTAATTACTCCTCACACTATTCCTGCATGGTTCGATATTGGATCATAAGCTAATTTAAATACGAATCAATAGCGAATTACGAAATTAACGAACTGGATCGCCCAAGCCTAATAGACACAACCTGGAAACTTTTAGTTTGACTATTGGAGTGACGACCCTCTCTCAAAAAAGAATGGTCGCCCCGGTCAAGTATTTTTTGTAAGTTTAACCCATTTTTGTCTTTACTTTCCAAAAGACGACACCTTCAAAAGCGCCACTGACGCTGCCACGGAAGACAATTCCTCTGTCGCGAATTACCTGGACAAGTAAGTGAGAAAGTTGCCAAGAGGTCATGAGTTCGAAACCAGCCCGGGTCGGAGTAAGCTCCCAACCATTTGCCTAGCTTGCTGTCAACCTAAGCTAAGGTAGATGTCCCCCAGGTGAGCGAAACTTCGCAAGTAAGTAAGGGCCTTTCCTCCGGTTCCTCCGTTCCAGCCTTTGCATCTTCTGTGGGGAACGGGACGACTCTTTCACCGAGGAAGGGCTGGACCTCCACTACTGGAAGCATTGCCCCATGCTCACGCGCTGCGACTTCTGCAAGCAGGTGAGCGCCTCCCCCTGGTCACAGGGCATATCTGGGCACAGGCAAGAACCTCCTTCCTTCCTTCCTTCCTTGCTGCCTTCCTTCCTTCCTCCCTTCTTTCCTTCCTTCCTACTTACCTACCTTCATTCTTTTGTTCCTTCATTCCTTCGTTTTTTCCTTCCTTCCTTCTTTCATTCTTTTCTTCCTTCCTTCCTACTTACCTAACTTCATTCTTTCATTCCTTTCATTCTTTTCTTCCTTCCTTCCTTCTTACCTACCTTCCTTCTTTCCTTCCTTCATTTCTTTGTTCTTTCTTTCCTTCCTTCCTTCCTACCTACCTTCTTTCCTTCCTTCCTTTTTACCTTCCTTTGTTCTTTCCTTCCTTCCTTCTTTCCTTTCTTCTTTCTTCCTTTCTTTCCTTCCTCTTTTCCTTCTTTCCTTCATTTCTTTCTTTTTTCCTTCCTTCTTTCTTTCCTTCCTTCCTTCCTTTTCCTCCTCTTCTTTCCTTCTTTCTTCCTCCTTCTTCTTCCCTTTCCTTCCTTCCTTCCTTTTCCTTTCTTTCCTTCTTTTTCCTTCTCCTCTTCCTTCCTTCTTTCCTTCCTTCCTTCTTTCCTTCATTCTTCCTTTCTTTCCCTCCTTCTTTCCTTCCTTCCTCCTACCTTCGTTCTTTCCTTCCTTCCTTCCTTTTCCTACCTTCTCTTCCTTCCTTCCTACTTTCCTTCCTTCATTCTTCCTTTCCTTCCTTCCTTCCTTTTTCCTTTCTTTCCTTCATTTTTTCCTTCCTCCCTTCCTAACTTCTTCTTTCTTTCTTTCTTCTTCCTTTCTTTCCCTCCTTTCCTTCCTCCTACCTTTTCTTTCCTTCCTTCCTTTTTACCTCTTTCTTTCTTTCCTCTTTCTTTCTTTTCTTCCTTTCCTTCCTTCCTTCCTACCTTCCTACCTACCTTCCTTCCTTCCTTTTTACCTACCTTCGTTCTTTCCTTCTTTCTTTCTTTCCTTCCTTCATTCTTCCTTTCCTTCCTTCCTTCCTTCCTTCCTTTTTCCTTTCTTTCCTTCCTTCCTTCTTTCCTTCATTCTTTCTTTCTTTCCCTCCTTCTTTCCTTCCTTCCTACCTACCTTCGTTCTTTCCTTCCTTCCTTTCTTTTTACCTACCTTCGTTCTTTCCTTCCTTCATTCTTCCTTCGTTCCTTCCTTCCTTCCTTCCTTTCCTTCCTTCCTTTTTCCTTTCTTTCCTTCATTCTTTTCTTCCTACCTACCTTCCTTTCTTCCTTCCTTCCTTCCTTCCTTCCTACCTACCTTCGTTCCTTCCTTCCTGGGCAACCTCCTGCCATCATTACGGACAAGGTTGGCAGAAGCTGGGGCTAACAATGGGAGCTCACCCCTTCTCGTGGAGAATGAGATCTCATTATTTGTCTATTATTATTGTTATTATTGTTATTATTATTACTATTATTACTACTACAAGATCCCAGACTCCGGTTTTCCTCTCCTTCCCTTTCTGCAGGTTGTCGAAATTGCCAGCCTGACGGAGCACTTGCTGACTGAGTGCGAGAAGAAGGACAGCTTCGGCAAGTGTCCGCGCTGCTCTGAAGCCCTCCCGAAGGACGAACTGCCCCGGCACGTCAAGGCCAAGGCCTGCAACCGTAAGGAGGCCCAGCCATATTATTATTCATATTATTGTTATCAATTATTATTATTATTATTATGCTTTCCTCACCTAAAAAGACTCAAAGCCGCTCATAACACTAAAACCATACATATAAACATTAGAATAGAATTAAATACAGAATTGGAAAAATCACATACAACCATTACATTTATTGAAGCACTGCACAGAAACTCCTAAATAAGTATTTTATATATATATATATATATATATATATATATATAGTTATCAAATACTAATCAATGTTATTATTAGTATTTTAATATTATTATTAATAATAATAAATATTAAATAATATTATTAATAATATATTATTATATTATTATTAAATAATACTAAATATTATTATTAGTATTTTTAATTTTATTATTAATAATAAACATTAAATATTTATTATTATTAATAATAAATATTATTATTAATGATAAATATTAAATAATATTAATAATAATATATTACTATATTATTAAATACCCAATTAAATTCCTCACCCAATTTATTATTTTTATGCTTTCCACACCTAAAAAGACTCAAAGCCGCTCATAACACTAAAACCATACATATAAACATTGGAATAGAATTAAATACAGAATTGGTAAAATCACATAAAACCCTTACAATTATTAAACCACTGCACAGAAACTCCTAAATCATTCTTTTAAACATATATATATATATATATATATATATATATATATATATATAATATTGCTATTAAATACGAATCAATGTTATTATTAGTATTTTAATATTATTATTAATAATATATTATTATATTATTATTAAATACTACTAAATATTATTAATATTTTTAATATTATTATTAATAATAAATATGAAATATTACTATTAATATTAATTTATTATTATTATTATGCTTTCCTCACCTAAAAAGCCTCAAAACCACTGATAACACTAAAACCATACATATAAATATTAGAATAGAATTAAGTACAGAATTGGTAAAATCACATAAAACCATTACAATTATTAGACTGCTGCACAGAAACTCCTAAATAATTCTTTAAATATATATATATTATTATATTGTTATTAAATACTAATCAATGTTATTATTAGTATTTTAATATTATTAGTAGTAATAATAAATATTAAATAATAATATTATTAATATATTATTATTATTGAATACTACTAAATATTATTAGTAGTATTTTAATATTATTATTAATAATAAATATTAAATATTAATATTAATTTATTATTATTATGCTTTCCTCACCTAAAAAGACTCAAAGCCGCTCATAACACTAAAACCATACATATAAACATTAGAATAGAATTACAGAATTCTTTCAAAAATATATATTATTATATTATTATTAAATACTAATAAATGTTATTATTAGTATTTTAATATTTTAATATTATTGATTTTAATATTATTTTAATATTATCATATTATTATTAAATATTACTAAATATTATTTGTTGTATTTTAATATTACTATTATTAATAAATATTAGATAAAATTATTAATAAATATTAGATAAAATTAATATTAATATATTATTATTATGCTTTCCTCACCTAAAAAGACTCAAAGCCCCTCATAACACTAAAACCATACATATAAATATTAGTACAGAATTAAATATAGAATTGGTAAAATCGCATAAAGCCATTGCAATTATTAGAGCACTGGGCACAAATTCCTGGATCATTCTTTTAAACTCCCCTGCTTTCTTTCCCCAGCCTCCAAACCTGAAAAAGTGGCCAACCACTGTCCCTTGTGCCACGAGAACTTCACCCCGGGAGAAGAGGTAAGCGTGGCGCCGGACCCCCATTGGGCTTCAGCGCTGCCCTCCCCTGGCTTCACTTGCTTTCTTCTTCCTGTTTACATTTTGTATTGTATACAAGTAACAAACAAAAAAACCTCCAGAAAAATACAATAACAAACCCAAACTGTACAATGGCAACATTGCTCAACACCTTATCTAATGTTGCAGTTTCTGGCTCCTCCGACCGACATTGCAAGTCAGCATATTGCTAGGGGTGTGCAATATGGCCATATTCTAGAAGCATTCTCTCCTGACATTTTGCTTGCATCTATGGCAGGCATCCTCAGAGGTTGTGAGGTCTCTTCGCCCAACTCCTTATCTAATGTTGCAGTTTCTGGCTTCTCTGACTGACTTTGAAGCCCTGCACTTTGCAAGGTGTGTGAAATATGGCCATGTTCCAGAAGTATTCTCTCCTGATGTTTCGCCTGAGGTGGCAGGCAACCTCAGAGGTTGTGGGGTCTCTTGGCCCAACTCCTTATCTAATGTTGCAGTTTCTGGCTCCTCTGACCGACCTTGAAGCCCTGCACTTTGCAAGTCAGCATATTGAAACGGGGGTGAAATATGGCCATGTTCCAGAAGCATTCTCTCCTGATGTTTTGCCAGCATCTGTGGCAGGCAACCTCAGAGGTTGTGGGGTCTCTTGGCCGAACTCCTTATCTAATGTTGCAGTTTCTGGCTCCTCTGACCGACCTTGAAGCCCTGCACTTTGATGTTTCTCCTGATGTTTTGCCTGCATCTATAGCAGGCATTCTCAGAGGTTGTGAGGTGTCTTTGCCCAACTCCTTATCTAATGTTGTGGTTCCTGGCTCCTCTGACTGACCTTGAAGCCCTGCACTTTGCAAGTCAGCATATTGCAAGGGGTTTGCAATATGGCCATGTTCCTGAAGCATTATCTCTTGACGTTTTGCCTGCATCTATAGCAGGCATCCTTAGAGGTTGTAAGGTCTCTTCGCCTAACTCCTTATCTAATATTGCAGTTTCTGGTTCCTCTGACTGACCTTGAATCCCTGCACTTTGCAAGGTGTCCTGAAGGAGAGCGCTTGAGAGAAGCTACCTAAATGCTTAATTTGCCGAGCCAACAGGACGCGCCGGATGCCTTTCCCCGGGGTCCTAGAATCCCGCCGAAGCTCTCGGGTGCATTTGCCGAGGTCTAGTATAGTAAGGCACTGGTTTTTCCCGGGCCATATTTGTTCAGAAGGGGTTGTTATTGCTTTCCACAGCTAGGTCACTAGCGATCTGTGGTCTCGGGAATTGAGTGAAGGTACTCCAAGTCCCATCATCCATGGTCCACCCTCCTTCAAACTGCAGTAGGCTGTAAAGTCGGTCATGGGGGCTTCGTGTGCCAAGTCAGTCCAGGTTCGTCACTCGTGGAGGTCACAGTTGCCTGTGAAAGTGGCAACCAATCAGAAAGCTGTCACATACACCTCCCCCCTTCGTCCACCCTCCCTCCCTCCACATACAAACATTCACTTTTTATTATATAACTGCACCAGGATGTAGAATGGGTCATGGGGACTGTGTGCCAAGTTTGGTCTTGATCAGTCATTGGATGAGGGTCGCAGAGGTCTCGGGAAGTGAGTGAAGTTACTTCAAGTCCTGTTATCCGTGGTCCATCCTCCTCGAATCTGCACCAGGATGTAGAGAGGGTCATGTGTCGTAGCGATCTCGGGAAATGAGTGTAGGTATTCCAAGTCCCATCATTCATGGCCCATCCTCCTCCAAACTGCAGTAGGATGTAGAGTGGGTCATGGGAGCTCTGTGTGGCAAGTTTGGTCTTTATTAGTCATTGTTGGGGGCCGCAGTGGTCTGTGGGAACGGAAGTGTTGGAAAGTACTACAAATGCCATCATCCATTGTCCGCCCTCCCCCAAACCTCACCAGGTTGTAAAAGGGGTCATGGGGGTTATGTGTGCCCAGTTTGGTCTTGTTCAGTCATTGGATGAGGGTCGCAGCGGTCTCGGAAAGCAAGTGGAGGTACTTCAAGTCCCATCATCCATGGTTCACCCTCCTCCAAACTGCAGTAGGCTGTAGAGTCGGTCTGAGGTCTTCGTGTGCCAAATTTGGTCTTTATCGTCTTTGTTGGGGGCCACAGTGTTCTGTGGGAGCAGAAGGGTTTTAAAGTACTACAAATCCCACAATCCGTGGTCCATCTCCCCCAAACCTCACCAGGATGTAAAGGGATTCATGGGGGTTATGTGTGCCAAGTTTGGTCCAGGTGCGTCACCCGTGTTGGTCACAATGGCCTGTGAAAGTGGCAGCCAATCAGAAAGCCCTACGTCCGCCCTCAACATACAAACATTCCCTTGTTATTATATATATAGATATATAGATACAGATTTACAGCATTTCTACCCCGCCCTTCTGTACCCCCGGAGGGGGGACTCAGAGCGGCCAACACTGGCAACATCACAATATAAACAACAACATGACTTCCGGTGGGTAATGGCGACAGGACAGCCGTGCTGAGAGAGAGCTCTCAGGGACGGACCAGCGGTGTGGCGGTTTAGGGGTACTAGATACCCCACACCTTATGCCGGCTTGAGTGCAAAGGTGTTGTGAACCCGAATTAGGCACGTAGACCCCAAAGATCTTCCTTCCCTCAAGGAGGGGGGATCGAGAGGGTCCGTGCCATATCGGGAGACATCTGCCCCGCAGGGAGCGAGCCGCCGAGATCGAGCTCGCCCTAACTGCCGTCATCCCATTTCAACAAGAAAAGAAGGAACAGAAGAAACCTACGGGGAGGGGTGTATACCCCCTAAGAAGATTTCACACCAGGTAAATAGGAGAAATCCTTTTAATTCAAACTGGTGGACTTTGGAAGGAAGAAAGGAGATAAAGGAGACACGAGAAATTTAAGGAGAAAAGGAGAATTACATTCCCCCCTTACCCTTTGAAGTGGGAAGAGGGGGGGCTGAATTTGGAAGAACGAAGGGGAAAAACGAGAAGAGAGAGATATTTGTGGGACCCGGGAAATGAAAAATTAGGAAAAGAAAGCTAAATTATCCAAATATTGGGCACAGCAATAATAGATACAACTAATACAAAACTTTAAGAAAGACAATTAAGCTAATAAACATAATAATATAATAGAAGTCTTGGAAAATCTCGAAAAGAAAAGTACATCATTGACCTTGGAGCCATATTGTTTGGTCTACGGCCGTCCTTCTTCATAAACAACTGGAGAGTCTGGAGATTGGAACTGGAGGACTGGAAGAGGGAAGTGAGGTCATTTAAGATGGCGGAGATGCGTAGCCTCTAAGGGACCCGAAGCTTAAGGGCGGAAGTGAGCTGGAGAGGGCGGAAAGACAGTAGTAGGAGGCAGGAAGCTAGAAAAACTCCAAAGGTCATAGAGAAAAGACGCTACAGAGAGGCAAGGAAAACAAATAACAAAGAAGTAAATAGAGACAAAGGTTGGTGAAAACGAGGACGAGAAGCAGACGAATCAAGTGAGGAGCGAGGAAGAGAAGCAGACGCAGCTAGGAAGAGAAGCAGACGATAAAGATAAAGAAGAGTGAGGAAGAGAAGCAGACGTTTCTTCGGGAAGCGAGGAAGAGAAGTAGACGGGAGTTCAGGAGAGAAGCAGGAAGAGAGAGGGTGCCATCTGGCGGAGGTTTCTTGGATAGTGTATTACAGGAGAAAACAGAAAGAGGGACTGTGCCATCTGGTGGAAGATTGGGATAGTGCAAGAGTAAAACATAAAGAAGAAAGAGAGGCCTTCTTGATGGGACTAAATTGAATTTTGTTTGACTACTGAATTAATTATAATATAAATTACAACAGCCTTAATTATCAAGTGAATTATCAAAAGATATATAAATTGATTGATTACAAATCTGGACTATTGTATAATTAAGTGAGTGTTACAGGTTAATCAATTAGAAGATTAATTTGAATTTTTTTTTCATTCCACTTATTAATTGTATATATATATTGCTCTTTTTCTCTGTATAAAATTTAAAATTAATATAATAGTAAGATATACGGGTAGTAAAATATACTGGTATTGAAATGAATTAACAGACTAGAAGTATAAGGGCTGAAATTTAAACTAACTATAAATTAATAATTAAGTTGATATTCACTATTTGGAAGTTTATAAGCCAAGTGACAGATGACAACGAAGACTAACACAGAGAAAGAAAGAGATATACGTACTTACGCTAGAAGAGGCTCATTGGACACCAATCCAAAGATGGATAATATATTGAAAGAATTAAAGGCTTTAAAGAAAGATCTGACAGATAAACAAGAAGAACACTTTAATAAACAAGAAGAAAATTATAAGGCCATGACAGAAGAATTTAAGAAACTTAAGACAGAAGTGAAAGAAGAATATGCACAAATGAAAAAGGATATTACCCATTTATATGGGGAGGTGAAGGAACTGAAGAGTAGTAAGGAGAAGAATGAAGAGGTTCAATCCCAGATTTTGAAAAAGATTAAGGGTCTGGAAAAACAAAACGAAAAGCTGGAATTGGAACAGGAAAAAACTCTCCAGAGACAAATGGATTATCAACTGCGATTTCGAAATATCATTGAAGAAAAAAACGAAGATATCAGAAAAATAATGTATGAGCTGCTGGCCAAGAGTTTGAGGTGCGAAGAAGACGAGATTGAGCAGGAGGTTGACCAGATTTATAGAATCTCTTCCCTGTATGCAAGGAAAAATAAGACATCTAGAGATGTAATCGTACAGTTCTCTAGACGAACGATAAGAGATGATGTGTTGTACAAGAGTAATAGGGACCCGATTTTCTATAAAGAAACAAAAATTGCTGTACTTAAAGAATTCCCCCAAGCAACATTAAACAGAAGAAGGAAATATTATTTCCTTACTGACGAATTGAAGAAACGCGGAATAAGATTCAGATGGGAGAGAGTGGAAGGAGTGATGGTGACATATAAGGAGGAAAGATTTTGGCTAACATCGGAGCAGAAAGCGAAAAACTTTTACGAAAAATTAATGAAGGAACAAGAACAAGAAGAAGAGCAACAAAGAGATAGAAAAGGAGAAAGAAAAGACGTTACCCCTAGCCAAGGTAACCAACCCAAGAAAGCAAGACACTTCTCCCCTAGAAGCTATGGATCACCCTCTAAAAGCTACGAAAGTAGAAAAACACCTCTTCAGGAGTTAAGTGAAGGTGCTTGTGGTTCAGATGAAATGGCAATTGGCTTGGCGCAACTGGGTATTGGTGATATGGGCTTGGACTTGAGTAAGAATGATTAAAATGGAGGAAATGCAAATAAAGTGTTATTCAAATAACATCAATGGTTTGAATTCTCCCCAGAAGCGCAAAAAGGTATTTGATAAATTAAGAAGACTGAAATACGATATTATAACATTACAGGAAACACACATTTCCCATAAACATGTGGCCTATTTAACAAATAAAAAACTGGGACAAACATACTATGCATCTAGCGAAAAGAAAAAAAGAGGTGTGGTGACATATGTGAAAGAAAACATACCATCAGAATTGGCATTTAAAGATTTAGAGGGAAGATGTTTGGCAGTTAAAATTACAATGGGGAATACAAAAATTCTAATCTGCAACATTTACGCACCAAACGACTCAAAGACAAACTTTGTAGAATATTTGAAAGTTAAACTTAAAGAAACGGAGTTTGATGAGCTTATGTTGATTGGTGATTTCAATGGAGTAATGAATATCCAAAAGGACAAAAGCCTAAATAAAAGAAAAGGGGGCAATGCTAGGCTCCCACAAAAAATGTTCGACCTTAAAAAGGAGTTTGATTTAGAGGATATCTGGAGAAACCGAAATGAAATGAAACGGGACTATACTTTTTACTCATGTAGACATCAGTCTTGGTCTAGAATTGACATGGCTTGGGCTACAAGGAAATTAACTACTAAGATTTCACAAATAAATATTCTTCCAAGAGACTTGTCAGATCATTGTCCATTAGAAGTAATAATAAATCATAGAAAACAACAGAGGAAATGGAGATTTGATGAGAATTCAGTTAAGAAAGAAGGAGATAGAGAATTTTATAATAAATTAATTCAAGAGTATCTAAATTTCAATGATACGGAGGAAATGAACCCACAAATTGTGTGGGACGCATTGAAAGCGGTGTTACGAGGGCATTTGATTCAGCAAGGAGCAAAGAAAAATAGGGAGAGAAACAAGAAAATGAGAGATTTAGAGGGAAAAATAAAAATGAAGGAATCTGAACTGAAAAAAAAACCTGAGAAGAAAAGTTTGGTCAAAGAGTTAAAAAGATTTAAGCAAGAAAGAGATGAGCTCGATTTGGAATATCAAGCCAGACAATTAAAATTTCTGAAACAACAGTCATTTGAAAACGCTAATAGATCAGGGAAATGGCTCGCAAGACAAGTTAGGAAGAAGAAGCAAAATAAACAAATAACAAAAATACAGATTGGAGATAAGGTGTTAACGACGGATGATGAAATAATTGAGGAATTTAAGAAATTCTACGGACAACTCTACGCTAAGGAAAATATCGACAAAGAAGAGATTATGAAATATATAGGTAAAAGAAAATTTCAAAAGATTACAGATGAAATTAGAGAGAAATTAAATAAAGAAATTACGGCTGAAGAGATTGAACAGGCAATAAATAAAATAGATGCCGACAAGGCACCAGGACCAGATGGCTACTCAGCAGGATTTTATAAGGTATTTAAGCAATCTTTAATACCTATTATGAAAAAGGTCCTAAATGAAGCAATGCTTTTCCAAAAAATCCCGGATACATGGAAAGAAGCTGAAGTGGTTTTGATCCACAAAGAAGGTACTCCGGAGACAGAGATTAAAAATTATAGACCCATCTCTTTGTTAAATGTAGATTATAAGATCTTTGCAAACATTTTGGCAATAAGGCTTAAAGAATTTTTAAAGGATTGGATCGGGGAGGAACAAACAGGATTTCTCCCGGAAAGGTCGATGAAAGATAATATCCGGACAGTTATAGATCTATTAGAGTATTATGAATCCAACCATCAAAAAGAATTTGCAATGTTATTTATTGATGCGGAAAAAGCCTTCGATAATTTAAACTGGGACTTCTTCAAAATATTGATTCAAGAACTTGACATGGGAACTAATTTTAACAATGCAATCAATGCAATATATAATGCACAAAAAGGAAAGCTACGAATAAATGGACAATTGACGGAAGAATTTTCGATAACAAAGGGTACTAGACAAGGCTGCCCCCTATCACCACTTATTTTTATAATGGCCCTAGAGCCACTGATGAGAGAAATTAAGGAGGACGAAAATATTAAGGGGGCAAAAGTTGGTAAATACGAATATAAAATAAGAGCTTTCGCGGACGACTTACTAGGTATTGTAGAAGACCCAGTTAAGAATACTCAATATTGGCTGCAAAAACTTAATGAGTACGGAAAGGTAGCTGGCCTCAAATTGAATAAAGGAAAATCCAAAATTATAACAAAAAATGTGAAGGAGGCGGGACAAATAAAAATTCAAGGAGTTACAGGCCTGGAGATAGTAAAGAAGATAAAGTACCTGGGAATATGGATTACAGCAAAGAATAACCAGTTGCTAAAGAATAACTACGAAAAGATGTGGACACAGATACAAGGGGACCTTCAAAAATGGAGATATTTAAAGCTTTCTCTACTGGGTAGAATCTCTTTAGTCAAAATGAACATATTGCCTAGAATGCTATTTCTATTTCAGAATATCCCTATTATTAGGAGTCAGCCTATCTTTAAAAAATGGAATAAAGAATTACTAAAATTTGTGTGGGCTGGGAAAAGGCCAAGAATAAAATATTTGAACTTAATAGACAGTAAGTTAAGAGGAGGCCTAGATTTCCCAGACCTAAAAATATATCACGAAGCATGTGCTCTTCTTTGGATAAAAGACTGGATATTACTTGACAAAGAACAATGTTTAAATTTAGAGGGCTTTGACTTGCGAGTGGGATGGCACGCGTATTTGTGGTATAATAGAGAGGCTAAAGAAAAGAACTTTGGAAACCACTTTGTAAGATCATCTCTACTGCGTGTATGGCAGAGATACAAGGATTATTTTTACAAAAAAATACCATTATGGGTATCCCCAATGGAAGCCCATCAAAGAAGACTGTTAGGTTGGAGAGAATGGCCTACTTACAGAGATCTTTTAATCAAGGGAACACAAGATATTAAAACATTTGAACAATTAAAAGTAAAGTATAAAAACCTCACTTGGCTGCATTATCTTCAAATAAGAGACTATTATAAACAAGACAGAAAAACAAATTTTGAATTAGAGGAAACATTTTGGGACAAAATATTAAATATGAAGAAGAAAATAATAACAGCTGTGTATAGAAAATTATTGTCCTGGGCAACAGAAACGGAGCAAGTTAAAAGCTGCATGATCAGATGGGCGGAGAACTTGAGAAGGCCCATACATTTCAAAGAGTGGGAACAAATGTGGAACAGGAAGTTGAAGTATACATATGCTTCGGATTTGAAAGAAAATTGGATAAAGATGTTCCACAGGTGGTATACTACACCTGAAAAATTGGCCCAGATGTATGGAAATATGTCAAATAAATGTTGGAAGGGGTGTCAACAGATAGGCTCTTTTTACCATATGTGGTGGACTTGTAAGGAATCTACGAAATATTGGTCTCAAATACATGCAGAGACACAGAAAATATTAAAGAAAACTTTCAAAAAGAAACCTGAATATTATCTATTAGGTTTCACTGACCAAGAATTAAAGCTTAACGAAAATGAAGATAGGCTGTTTACATATATAACGACGGCAGCAAGAATAATTTTTGCTAGTGTCTGGAAACAGGAAACAATCCCGGAAATTGACTCATGGTTGGAGAAGTTAAGAGAAATAAGAGATATGGATACTTTGACTTTTTATCTGAAAAAGAATACGGGCAAGTTGATAAAGAGGACCGATTGGGCCCTCTTTTGGGAGTATGATAAAAAAAGAAGAGAATAAGAGAAATTGTTTTTTTTTTTTTTTCTTTTTAAAGGGAAAGAATGGATTTAAAAAACCGAAGTGTGAAATGGAAGTCAATTTTATTTAGTATGATGTGTTTAGTTTAGGGTTATGTTTTGTATGTTTCTTTTTCTTTCTTTATTCTTTTCTTACTTTCTTTAAACTTTTGTTCTCACTCTTTCGCTGTATATGTTAGAAAATTAATAAAAATTAATAAAAAAAAAAAAAAAAAACATAAAAGCATAAATACATAACAGATTAAAACAATAACATTAATTATAGCCCTAAAGGGCGCCTTCTCGCCTGCGTGCGCGGTTGGCACCTGTTTACTTTCCCGCCTCATTCCTCTTCTTTCCCGCAGGCCTGGAAGACGCACCTGATGGGCAGAGACGGCTGCCGGCTGAACCTGCGGCGGACGCAGGTCTTGAACAAGAGCCTGCCGACACAGTCAGTCGCTGGTACGGCAAAGCGGGTATTAGTCCCAATTTGAAGTCGCGCTCCTTTGTTTACAAGCCAAGCCTGGCGGGGACCTCCGCCGGCTTCGGCTCACGACCTCTCTCTCGGTTCCGCAGGCAGGCCCGCGGCGCCGCTCAACCGTTCTGGCCCGGCTGGCGCGAAGCTCCGCTCCCCCTCGGTCGGAAGCAAGATCCCCACCCCGCGAGGAGGCTTGAATAAAAACACTGGCAGAACGTACGCCAAGCGATGACGTGGATCTCTTCTTCGCCCGGGAACCCGTTGGCAGGCGACCGCAGCGGTACCCCCCGTTGCGGTACCCACAAACACCAGCCGGCCGCTATCCACTCGTCCATCCACACTGGTGCTTTGGTGTGGCCGGGTTGAGCTTGGGCCTTGAAGCCACCTTCCCTTGTCCCTTCTCCCTCGCAGAAAAGCACGGGGAGAAGCAAGCAAAGCCATAGCCCTTCCTTGTTCCTCTTGCCCTTTGGCAGCCCAGTTTGGGTCCTCTGGTTTCAATGGAATACACCATAAAACACCCGCCTGGATTCTCAAACCCATTTTCCGGTCATTGGATGCAAGCGGTTGGAACGTGAGATAAGATTTCTAAGGATGTTGCACCCCAGGATAGGAATAATCCTCTGACTTTAAACACCACACGTTGAATAGGGGAAAAAAACAATCCTTTTATTGAAGATAAGTAAAAAAAAAAAGCAGTAAAGCAAAAGGCACTTTAAAGAAATGGGTAAATCCAATTAGGTAAGAAGATAAGCAGGAACAAATTTGTCTTATTAGCCTTATTATATTGCATTATTATATTATTACTGTTGCATTGCAGGGCAGGAATAATCCTCTAAACACCACACATTGAATAGGAGGAAAAAAACAATGCTTTTATTGAAGATAAGTAAAAAAAAAGCAAAGTAAGAAGCACTTTAAAGAAATTGGTAAATCCAATTAGGTAGGAAGATAATCCAATTAGGTAAGAAGAAAAAATCAGAGCTTTTATTGAAGATAAGTTAAAAAAAAAACAGTAAAGTAAAAGGCACTTTAAAGAAATGGGTAAATCCAATTAGGTAGGAAGATAAGCAGGAACAAATTAGTCTTATTAGCCTTATTTTATTGCATCGTTATATTATTACTGTTGCATTCCAGGACAGGAATAAACACCACAGGTTGAATAGGAAAAAAATCCTTGTATTGAAGATAAGTAAAAAAACAGCAAAGTAAGAAGCACTTTAAAGAAAAGGGTAAATCCAATTAGGTAAGAAGATAAGCAGGAACAAATTAGTCTTATTAGCCTTATTATATTGCATCATTATATTATTACTGTTGCATTCGATGAGCTGGAGATGTCTCTGCCTTGGTCCTTTCACTATTGGCTGCTACTTCCCGGCGGATGTCAGGTGGTGCAATACCGGCTAAGCAATGTAATTTCTCCAGTGGTGTAGGGCGCAGACACCCCGTGATAATGCGCCATGTCTCATTAAGAGCCACATCCACTGTTTTAGTGTGGTGAGATGTGTTCCACACTGGGCATGCATACTCAGCAGCAGAGTAGCACAGCGCAAGGGCAGATGTCTTCACTGTGTCTGGTTGTGATCCCCAGGTTGTGCCAGTCAGCTTTCGTATGATCTTGTTTCTAGCACCCACTTTTTGCTTGATGTTCAGGCAGTGCTTCTTGTAGGTCAGAGCACGGTCCAGAGTGACTCCCAGGTATTTGGGTGCGCTGCAATGCTCCCGTGGGATTCCTTCCCAGGTAATCCTCCTCAGAGCTCGGGATGCCTGTCTGTTCTTAAGGTGAAAGGCACATGTCTGTGTTTTAGATGGATTAGAGATCACCTGGTTTTCCCTGTAATAGGCAGTAAGGGCACCTAGAGCTTTGGAGAGCTTCTGATCAACCATTTCCAAGCTCCCTGCTTGGGTGTTGATGGCACGATCATCAGCATAGATGAAGCTCTCTGTCCCTTCTGGCAGTGGCTGGTCATTTGTGTAGATGTTGAACATGGATGGAGCAAGCACGCTCCCCTGAGGCAGGCCGTTCTTCTGTTTCCGCCATCTGCTTCTCTGGCCCTGGAACTCAACAAAAAAGCTCCTGTTTTGTAGCAGTTTTCCTATGAGGCGGGTGAGGTGGTCGTCCTTTGTGATATTATACATTTTTCTCAGGAGGAGGCGGTGGTTCATTATACATTGGTATTATACATTATACCAATGTATAATGGTAATCTTCCATGCTTCTTTTCCATTTGATCATCCAGCATTCACAAGAAAAACAGTTGTGGGTTGGCTTTCTAGGAGGGAGGCTGAAGCAGCTGCATCGGGGGGACATGGGAGAAGTCAAGGGTTGCACAAACAGTGCTTACACTTGCCCATCCTTGTGTTATTGTGTTATTGACCCCTTCTCTTTTGTTTCAGACATGGTGGAAGCAAAAGAGAGCATTTCCGAAGCTCCGATGCTGCAGCACTACAAAAATAGGCTGAAGGCAGCTGTGAGGTGGCAATTCTTGAAAATCAGGAGCTGTAAGTTCATGCGAAGGGGTATTAGTTAGATAACATTGTTGGCAGGGGCAGCTCGTCCATTACGCGAAGTAAGCGGTCGCAGAACACTTTTTTTTTGCCAGGGGCGCAGAGGCGCCTCTGTAAATGCCCCTCGACCGCCACTTGAGGAGCGCCCCCTCGGCTCACAACAGCCCTAGCAGTCCGGGGGGAGCCTTTCCAAGGAGGCCTCTCGGGTGCTGGACGGGTGCCTGGCCGCTGTGTCTATCTGGATGAGGAGGAACAAGCTGAAGATCAATCCCGACAAGACAGAGGTCCTCCTGGTCGATCGCAAACCAGACCGGGGTATAGGGTGGCAACCTGTGTGGACGGGGTTACACTCCCCCTGAAGCCACAGGTCCGCAGCTTGGGAGTCCTCCTGGACTCATCGCTCACGCTTGAGGCTCAGGCGTCGGCAGTGGCCGGGAGGGCTTTTGCACAACTGAGACTTGTGCGCCAGCTGCGCCCGTACCTCGCGAAGGCTGATCTGGCCGGGGTGGTCCATGCCTTAGTCACCTCTAGACTGGATTACTGCAATGCGCTCTACGTGGGGCTGCCCTTGAAAACGGCTCGGAAATTCCAATTGGTCCAACGGGCAGCAGCCAGGATGCTAACAGGGGCCCATTACAGAGAGAGGTCAACCCTTCTGTTTAAGGAGCTCCACTGGCTGCCGTTTATTTTCCGAGCCCAATTTAAGGTGCAGGTGCTTACCTACAAAGCCCTGAACGGTTTGGGACCACCCTACCTGCGAGACCGCATCACAGTCTACGAACCCACACGCTCACTCCGGTCATCAGGAGAGGCCCTGCTCGTGATCCCGCCCACGTCGCAGGCACGCTTGGTGGGGACACGGGACAGGGCCTTCTCTGTGGTGGCTCCCCGCCTCTGGAATGCCCTCCCGAAAGATCTCAGACAGGCCCCTACCTTGGCGGTTTTCAGAAAGAACCTGAAAACCTGGCTGTTCCAATGTGCCTTCTCAGATTAGGAACCCCACTACCAAAGCCCAGAAGCACTTTAGTAGAGTTAAGATCACCCTCACCGCACACTGCACTTATATTTTAACCCCATATCCCTCCGACACTTCAGCACTTTTAATCCTGTACCCTATTCCAGGCCGGCTCAGTTTTTAATGATGTCCTGTTGTATTGCTGCTGTTATTGTTTTCTGCTTTAACTGTTTTATTTGCTATGTATTGTACTGTTGTATTGTGTTGGGCTCCGGCCTGTTGTGAGCCGCATCGAATCCCTTGGGAGATGCTAGCGGGGTACAAATAAAGTTATAATAATAATAATAATATAGCCTCGGCTTTCTTGCCTCGCTGCCGGGCGATCCTCTTCCCAAAGGGGCCGGGCCCTTGAGCCTCGCCTCGCCCCTCTCGTTCCTGCTCCACCCGGCCACCGGGTGCACGAGCAGAGCCGGCGCTCAATCGTTCTCCGCGTTCAATCCCTTCCCCATGACCGGCTCCCTTTCCCGATCCCCCGGCACTCCACCTGCCTCCTCTCCTCTCCCCAATCCACGGGTGGGCCAAGGGGCGGAGCCGCCGTGCCTGGCCCGCTTCGGGTCTGGAGGCGTGTCTGAAGACCCCAGCGTGCGCACCAAAAGTCGCCTCTTCTCCTGACTTTCTCTTCAGCCATTGGGACCAAGAGAGAGAGAGAGAGAGAGAGCCCCTCCGGCTGGAGGTATCTCCCACCTCCGCTCCCTCCTTTGTTTTTGCGCCTACCTTCAGGAAAGGTGGGCATCTCCACCTCTCTCTCTCTCTCTCTCTTGGTCCCAATGGCTGAGGAGAAAGTCAGGAGAAGAGGTGACTTGGGTGCAGGGGTGGCTCGTCCATTATGCGAAGTAAGCGGTCGCAGAACACTTTGGTCTGGAGGCATGTCTGAAGACCCCAGCGTGCGCACCAAAAGTCGCCTCTTCTCCTGACTTTCTCTTCAGCCATTGGGACCAAGAGATTGAGAGAGAGAGAGAGAGCCCCTCCGGCTGGAGGTATCTCCCACCTCCGCTCCCTCCTTTGTTTTTGCGCCTACCTTCAGGAAAGGTGGGCATCTCCACTCTCTCTCTCTCTCTTGGTCCCAATGGCTGAGGAGAAAGTCAGGAGAAGAGGTGACTTGGGTGCAGGGGTGGCTCGTCCATTATGCGAAGTAAGCGGTCGCAGAACACTTTGGTCTGGAGGCATGTCTGAAGACCCCAGCGTGCGCACCAAAAGTCGCCTCTTCTCCTGACTTTCTCTTCAGCCATTGGGACCAAGAGAGAGAGAGAGAGAGAGCCCTCCGGCTGGAGGTATCTCCCACCTCCGCTCCCTCCTTTGTTTTTGCGCCTATCTTCAGGAAAGGTGGGCATCTCCACCTCTCTCTCTCTCTCTCTCTCTCTGGTCCCAATGGCTGAGGAGAAAGTCAGGAGAAGAGGTGACTTTTGGTGCACACGCCGGGGTCTTCAGGCACGCCTCCGGATTCAAAGCGGGCCAGGCAAGGGAGCAAGTGCGGCAAGTGTAGTTACTGGGATGTATAGTTCACCTACAATCAAAGAGCATTCTGAACTCCACCAATGATGGAATTGAACCAAATATGGCACACAGAACTCCCACGACAAACAGAAAATATATATCAATGATTGGTTGGGGGGGGAGGGAATACCATTGAAAATTACCTAGGGCCGCCTCTGGGTCTGAGTCATTGTCGGGGATGGAGGGAGGCGCTCAGGATCAGAAATGGGAGGCAAGGGGCCAGTTTGAACCATGCGCTTTCTCTTCCCAGCCTTGGCCTGTAATCCCTGCCCGGACCACTGGCTGCAATGGGGGGACAACTGCTACCTGGGCACCCCCCAGATGATGTCCTGGCACAAATGCATCCCGTACTGCAAGACCCTCGGGGCCAGCCTTCTGACAGGAAGGACAGAAGGAGAAATGGTGAGGGAAAGCCCTTTCAGGGTCTCTGCCTCCCTTTCCCCCTTTTCTTCGTTCTCCTCCATCTTCTTCCTTTCTTCCCTTTCCTCCTGCTTGTCCTTCTCTACTACTCCCATTACGTT